CTGTTGCGCAGACCGATGAGTACACACTGAGCTTTAACTTCGTAATTTATTTGGTGAATGAAATATATATTAAAGGAAATATATTGATTTTAGTTCTGCCATGGGTATAAGAATCCTGGTGTACCCGTATATATGAACACGTACAGTGATGTTTTATTAATAGTGCGTTCACAGAATTGCTTACGATAACAAATAATGACAATAAATGTTCCAATCAGATGCACAATTTCTCGTAACATGGCTTAAATTGCCAAACTGTCATATTAATCCCATGTGATCTCAGACAACTAATAAATATTAGTTTAATTCACGTAGATTGCAAGAACCAAGAGATGGTAACTGCTAGGTGCCAATTCAGAAGAACAATCTCAATGAACAATGAAGAATTTTAGAGTTTTGCCTAAGCAGATCGTGTTTGAGAAACTGTTGAATTCAAAAGATAGTTCCATTGCCAACAGTCTAGGAGTCTTTAGTCATACAATCTTAGAAATTTATGCTAATTGTTAAATGTGTCTTGGGTTTTATTTATTATTAGTGTGTGTTACTTTGTTCGTTTTTGGCCATAAAGTATGTAATTTATTACATTATTTCGAATATTATTCTATTCTATTCTATTCTATTCTAGTCTAGTCTAGTCTAGTCTAGTCTAGTCTAGTCTAGTCTAGTCTATAGTCTAGTCTAGTCTAGTCTAGTCTAGTCTAGTCTAGTCTAGTCTAGTCTAGTCTATACCAATTCAGCTCTATCTTTAGAAATAAGCTAAACATCCTCAACCATTGCTTGGACCAGGAACTTATCTTTTCTGGCAGGTATATTATGCACGCATTCAGAGTCAACACACTACCAATGAACCGGGTCCAATACAGCACAGGAGTGTTCCATTTAGCAGTGTTACGATCAGAGAATGTCACGTGACACTGAACTGATATCACGTACCCACGTATAGACCAAATTGTTACATGACCACTATGGTAAGAACATCTCCTGTGTTTTTAAGTTTTATTAAATGAGTCGTACAGAAATCACACATACTCGTACAGGTATTATAAAGTGCATTTAATTGCGCCATCTGCCGACAACTACAGGATTTTGTCATCGGAACAGTGAGGGCGCAATTCACACGAATGTTTCCGATTGCTAGTTTTCAGACCCTGTAATTCCCCAGAAGAACACTCTCGTGTATGTTGTCTTATTGACTGAGTACACCCCATCTATATTAGTATACTAATATTTTAGACTAGACAACACGTTTTAATTTTTGAATTCATACATTAACTGAAAAAAAGTTGCAAATAACACAGCTTATTTCTACTAACCGGAAGTGAATCTATGTCGATTTGACCCTGTTCGCGTATGTAGCCCAAGAACCAGGGAACCTAAAGCGCGACTATTAATTGTGTATGAACATAATTAAATTATAGGTTAGCTATATTAATATTTTCATTTAATAAAAATCCTGTATCCACCGTTGCCATGGCAACAACCAACCAACAAACTGTTGCCAAATCTCATCGTACAAATCGTGGATTAAAACTCAGCTCTTGGGCCTAACATAGAACCTTTCAACATCCCGGCTTGTCTGTATATCTTTATGTATTAATTAATACTTAAATATTTAATAAATCAACGAAAATTGGATCGAATGTTAGTATTCAGAACAAATTACAATAAAAACAATGAAAGAGAATGTCAGTTAGTCTAATACTTTTGTCGGGATTGCATCCATGGCTCATTAATCTTTTGAAGGCCAAAGTTAATTTGACGCCTTTCACAAAATAAAATCTCACAGATTTGTTTATCATATTTTAAAAGCACACACGCACACGCACACACGCACACACCACACACACACACGCACACACGCACGCACTCAGGAAATCGGCCAATATAGTACAATGAAAATAGCATGTTTTTTCTGTTTTGGGTCATTTTACTATTGTTTTATATGGCAAGCATATATTTCAAACTTTTGCTCGGTAACATATGGTGAAAAACGATTTATAGTCTCTTTAAAGGTACTTTATCGTGTCTGGAAGTATGAACAATTGACAATAGTTTTCATTCTGGTTGAAACTGCCGCTAAATGTTATTTTATGCGTATTATTTTACCTTTTTTTCTAAAATAAACAGATTGACAGTAAACCATGACACAGATTTAAGCGCCAAAATATGCATTCTACCTTCAAAATTTCACCAAAGCTCATTGTATTGGGCGCGATCAGTGAAGACGCACTGTAAACAGTTTCAGAAGGAGAAGTTCTATGTGCACGCCACCAACGGCGAACGCAAAATACATACAGTTAGAGGGTCCCACAAAATAACATACTTAGGGAGTCAAATAGCAAGATGGCGGAAAAATCGAGTCGCCCATCGTCCCAGGTAAACATTATTTATTTTCATCTTCTTTGAAACAAGACAACATGGTTATGTTATCAAAATATTCTGGGACTGTTTTACTTCAGTGAAAAAGTATCCAGCGATATTAACTTACACAAAATATTTATAATTGCTTACCATGCTGCTCAATCTTATTATTTTCTGCGACGGCCTTCCGGAGATTTTACGACTAACTTTTATTTGAGGGAGAAAATAGGAGGGGGGGGGGGCAATTTCAAATTCATTCTAGGATCATCGCAACTTTTACATTAAATTATATTTCGTTTGACGTGCCAAACCATGACGTGCTGACCATGTACTTTCAAAACAACCGATGATACACGTCTTAAAAACAAGTATCGTCATGCTTTCCCTTGTTACCAATGGAGTCTTTTCACTTTATGGAGGCGACAAAGCTACGGACAAAACAAAACCCAGACCTCTGTTACATCATGAAGGTAAAAAAATAATTTGATCGTAGCAAAGGTATATAAGGCTATGTAATTTTTGTAATAATTTCCCACTGATCCAAGAAATCAAAACGCATACCTCCGAAAGTGAGAACTGACGTATGATGGATGCCCAGAATTTTTTTTAAATTTTTTTTCTGGTCTTAGTTGAATCTCCAGCCAATCAGATGACAGAAGTGAAAGCATTGTTCATAATTATTCTTTGAAGTATAATTTGATGCAGAATTCCATTGTTTTTTTTCCCTAAGGCAAGGAGATCAGCAACACAAAGTAGACAATCAGGAACATCACAAGATCTTCTGAGCAGGGAAGAGGAGTACAAGTATGTTACCGTAGCAAAATGTTGTGGCAAGGAATGATCACAATTGGATGATACAGTGGAGTCGATGAGGACAACATTTCATGAAAGATGCTGTAACTTTGTTTCTTTTAGACATCCAGTGACATTTTCACTGCTACAAAATTTTGTGATTTTCACTCAAGATGCATGTATTCATGTAAATTTGTCTCTTGAAAATTTGTCTAAAACAATTTACAATATATCGTATTAGTAGTGGTTGTTGTACTGGTCACTTGTTTAAAGTGGTATTGTTGTCAAAACTAAGTTTCAATTTTGAGTAACCTGACTAAAATTAGATCTGAAAGTTACGTCATTTGTGATTTTTACTGACCAAAACTTGATGCATTACACTGTTTAATGACTAAGTTATTATTTGTCTTTATTATAATGTGCAAATTCTACTTCAGGAGTGTACTATGAACACATTTAACCCAGGAAGTACATGAGTAAAATAGTCATTCTATAAATACCAAAAAGGAAGGGAACTAGTTGCTCTTTCAGAAACAATTAAAAAGTTTTGTGTGCATCTCAGACTGATCTTAATGGAAAATGCTTCACATCGAAAATAGATTTTGTAAAATAGTCCAGTTATCTCAAACAGAGAATAAAACGAGCAATTCAGTAACTTGATGAAACCTTAAGATGCTGAAAACTCAATCATAAACTAAGCTGCCGAACTTCTCGGCTATTGACAAGACAGATATCTTGTGAGTCCAATTGTAATTATTACTGTAGTACCGGTACACATAATACTTACCGTAAAAACTTGATTAATTCGCGGTAGTAAAAATAATTACGGTATTTTTATTAAGTGCGCGAATTAATAGCATGAAAATGGAATTTATTGGTTTTTGGTGCGCGATTAAAAGAGTACTTTTAGATCGATTAAAAAAAGAGCTGTTTTTATAAATTTATTAGTGATTTGTTTTGTTTTTCAATGAACACGATTACAGGACGTTGTTTTAGTGCCTCTGAGACTCGTGGCTAGCGACATTCGTGGCGTATAGTCTGGCAGAGACCACGAACTGCGTCAAGGACCACGCACCATGTTACACTTGAAATGGAAGAGTGAAATGGCAAAGGTCACTCTGTACACAAACAAACAATGAACTCGTGGCCGTCTGGCTGCACTGCCTTTTTTTAATTTTTCTAGGCAGTACCGACAGACACAAATTATTAATTGTTCGGCAGGTCGTCAGCAGTGAACTGTCAAACGAATCACCATCTTCGTTGTCGTTGTCTAAAAGCAGATTGGCAATGATTCCTGCTATTTCAGTGTTGCTTCGGATAAGGTGGTCTTCTGCCCCGTTGATTGCATTTTTGTAGCCATGTGTTCATTGTTTACATGATTGTTTTTTTTTTTTTTTTTTCAAACACTTTCATCTATGATGAAAATGTGACACAAGGTCAATCGCCTGACCAATCAAAAACGTTAATTTACGCACCATAGGGCAGTTCACTTAAATGACGTCATAAAATAAAATCACTTTCCAAAGTGGCGAACACATGGTCGATGCAACCCTGTGGACCAGCGATGAAAAGCCTTGTACTAAGCTTTCCATCACGGAAATTCGTAATCGATGTACTGACCGATGGATATTTATCGACTAAGTAATAATCTTGCCCAACATCTGTAGTGTCGTGGGGGAATGATTTTTTTCAGGTCAAATCTTGAACGAACCTGAACTGCTTGCTAACTGAAAGGCTGTGATGACGGAGATTGTCTGCGATTGCGGCTACACCAAGTACTGATAACATAAAAACTAGGATACAATTTTAAACATGTTTTTGAACGCCGCTAATTGAAAGGATACATTTAAAAACTAGCGTTTGAAAATAAAATGGGTGCGTGAATTAATAGAGGCCGCGAATTACCGGTAATTGAGTTATTACGGTAACATATTTCAATCCAAATTTTGCCAACACTACACCTTTAACAACAAAATACGGTAGGGTTCCTTAGGGCCCCTTCACCCATAACTCTAATCCTAACCCCACCCCTCCAGTACACCTCCCCACCCCTCCCCAATTGTATATACCCCTCTTTGGGTCACTTATAATTATCTGGAGGGGCATATTGAATTACATTGGGGGGCTGGAGTGTTATTGTTAGGGGTCAGGTTAGGGGTGATGTGATCTTCAGGAACTCTTTCCCAAAATACAGTCAAACAGTACCCCAGGGTTCCACAGGCCAAAGCCACTTTATTCACTTAAAGGAGGCTTCTAATAGAGCAAGTATAGTATACAATGATGTCAGTGCAATGTGTTTAATTTTGACATCACTCATACTCGGTATGCAATGAATATTGAGTCTGGTAATGTTCTTGTTTCAGACGTTTAAATGCTGAACTTGAAGCGAAAACAGCTGGTCTAATCCAACAAGCTGAAGATGTCATGGTAAATTATTTGATTTTTTTCTTACTGATATATCTATATTTGATGTCACTAAATTTTAATTCTTGGTTGGTTTGTTTGTTTGTTTGTTTCTGTAGCGAGGACAAGAAAGTATGTTGAGTAAAGCAAGCAGAGGAATCCTGGATTCAGATGAATATGAATATGACATCAACAATTCTCCCATATTTGACACAGAACCACATTCAATAACAGATAATTTAGAACAGGTGAGATAAAGAAAATGACTATCTGTCACTTGAATTGAAACAAGATTCTGTAGTTTCATGATAGATTCTTGTTATTCCCATCTTAACATTTTCTCCACCAGACTTTCTCGCCCAAATTTGTCTGTACTTTTTTTTTTATATTCTTCAACATTTCTGGAAATGAACCCTAATTTTGGAGCCAACAAACAATATTTGGCTATTTTTGTCCCGATCTTATGAAGGAAAGTGCGGCTATAAACGGGACTATTTTGTGAATTTGTGATGAAAAGAGGGAACTGGTGGTGAAATAGTGAAATATTTACTGTTTGGCACATGTCCTGTGAGTTTTATCCTATTACCGGATTCTGCAGCAGTTTGGGTTTAAAAATAAATAAAATGAGACCAAGAAATCGCCCAGGACGATTTTTCCGCAGTTTTTTAAAGTGTTATTTTAATCTTTTCTGATGCCTAAAAGTTTCACCATAGTCATTGACGCCTATTCAAGAGTATAGATGTTTATTGCGACTAGCGTGAATGGGTTAGCTTTGTTTCGACAATGAGCTGTTAAAGCTGTAAACAATGTTAAATTATTCTTCAAATGCTCAGTTTATCTTATGAAAACAACTAATTTTTTTATTAGCTCCGCTGTCGACTTTGTCGAGCGGAGCTTATCATATGAGTGATTGTCCTTCGTCGTCGTCGTCCGTGTCAATGTTTTACTTTTTCGACTTCTTCTTGAAAACTACAAGCCTAAATGCTTTGATACTTGGTGTATATGTACCTTGGGTAGACCTCTCTTAGGTTTGTTCATTTCATGTTGATATCTTTAATTCTCTAATTTTGGTGAATATTTTTGTCATTTTTGGTAAAAACTGATATTTTCGACTTCTTGTTAAAAACCGCAAGTGCAATTGCTTTGATATTACATCTATAGGTACTACATGTGGACCTCTCTCAGATTTGTTAATTTTGTAATGATATCTTTAATTCTTTAATTTTGGTGATTATTTTTGTCATTTTTGGTAAAAACTGATATTTTCGACTTCTTGTTAAAAACCGCAAGTCCAATTGCTTTGATACTACATATATAGGTACTACATGTGGACCTCTCTCAGATTTGTTCATTTCGTGATGATATCTTCAATTCTCTAATTTTGGTGAATATTTTTGTCATTTTTGGTAAAAACTGATATTTTCGACTTCTTGTTAAAAACCGCAAGTGCAATTGCTTTGATATTACATATATAGGTACTACATGTGGACCTCTCTCAGATTTGTTCATTTTGTAATGATATCTTTAATTCTTTAATTTTGGTGATTATTTTTGTCATTTTTGGTAAAAACTGATATTTTCGACTTCTTGTTAAAAACCGCAAGTCCAATTGCTTTGATACTACATATATAGGTACTACATGTGGACCTCTCTCAGATTTGTTCATTTCGTGATGATATCTTCAATTCTCTAATTTTGGTGAATATTTTTGTCATTTTTGGTAAAAACTGATATTTTCGACTTCTTGTTAAAAACCGCAAGTGCAATTGCTTTGATATTACATATATAGGTACTACATGTGGACCTCTCTCAGATTTGTTCATTTTGTAATGATATCTTTATTCTTAATTTGGTGATATTTTGT